TGCCCCCCCCCCCCCAAGCCCTGGGAGCCGGCCTGGGGACCATCACACACCAACCTTGGGGCCTCTCCCTCTCTTCTTCGCGGCCACGGGTCTGGCGAGGTCCTCACGGCCTTCCTGGGTGCCTTCCGGGACATCCTGCCTCGCCGGTCCAGGCCTGACACCTGCAACCAGGCCCGGAGGTCAGTCAGCACTTGCCACGCACTGGAGGCCCAGGCAGCCCAAGCAAAGGGAACGTCAGAAGCACTTCCGCGCGGGTCCGGAGGCAGAGCCTGCAAACAGCAGCGCAGCCTCTCCCGCGCTGAGGTCCGCGCCGCCCGACGTGCCACACAATCCCCCGACTCAGGGGTCAGGTACGACTGCCCGATGGGCGACAACGTGCTGCTCCACCGGCCCAGGCGTCCACCTGTCCATGAGGACAGACGCCTGCATCTCCCGCACGACTCCGACCCCAGTTCTGTTTTATACGACGATCCAAGCCCGCCCTCCAGAGGAGGATACAGATCTGGGTGCCAGTGGCTGGAGAGGAGCCCCCTCCGCCCTCAGTACCAATCTGCCAGCTCCCTACGCGTCTCCACCCGACACCAGTGTCCGCCGTGAGGACACACAACCTCAAAAGACACCATCGAGCCCTGGCCGGTTTGGTTGTGGTTAGAGCGTCAGCCCCAGGGGCTGCGGGTCGAGTCTAGTCAAGGGCAAACACCTGGGTTGCAGGTTCAAGCCCCTGTCAGTAGGGGAGCAACCAATCGCTGTGTCTCTCTCATCCATGTTTCTCTCTCTCCCTCCATTGTCTCAAAAAAAAAAATAAAAAATCCATGGAAAAAATGTCCTCGGGTGAGGATCAAAGAAAAGAAAGACACCCATCCAGTGACGTGGCCTCATGTGTCTCCCTGTCCTCGCTCGTCCTCCCTGGATGGCCGCCCACTCTCTGAACCAGCTGCTGTCCTGAGACCTAACACCACCACCACCTGCCTGGCCTCCAGGGTCCAGCAGGCAGTGGCCTGGGGTCACTCCCGCCCCAGCCCGGGCAGGGGCTGCTCAGCCGGCCCATGCGGCCGGTGACGCACCTTCCCGTAAACGCCGCTCGCTGCGGACACAACGAGGCAGAGCACGGCCCCGCCTGGCAGCACAACCCGCAGACAAGGCAGCAGACGAGTCCATACGAGGCAGAAACAACGCAAGCACCTCGAAACCAAGTCACCCAACACGAGAGGGGCTGACGCAGGCGCCTCGACACGAGGCACAACGACGCTGAGGGTCAGACAGACAGTGTCAGCCCTTCTTCCAGCCAAGTGCCGAACGAGGGCTGAATGTTTTCTTGAATTAAAACTAGTTCTTTGCAACTCGGGCCCTAAAAACGCCAGGTCCTGAGCACCTAGGAGCAACTTACCCCGAGGCCTCTGGAGACGCAGCCGACCCCATGCTGGCCCCACCGTCTCCTCAGCGAGCTCTACACTGGACGTGCATTATTCAGCTCCCTCCCGGCCTCCTGCATCCCAGCCACGGCCTCAGGGGGAGAGACCCCGCCTGGCGCAGGTGGGTCAGGCCATGTCCAAGGGCGTCTGGCCTCCCATCGCCCTGCAAAACCACAGAGAGCCCCCAGGCCTCTCAGGACTGGAGGCCCTGAGGTCTGGCTCCCGCGGCCTTTCTGACCTCACCCCGTCCCCGTCCCCTCTGACACGTAGCCGACTCCCAGGGGGAGGTGATACCACGGCTGAGGATGGGCCACCACAACACCATGGGTCTTGATTCCATCACCACAAAGCCAGGCTCAGATCAGACCAGACGATGCGCAGGCCTCCTAGGCCCTGAAGGGCCAGGATCTTGTCCCTGTGGCATGACAGGGGCTCGAGTCACGCCAAGGCCGGGCCTGCACCCTCTGCGTGGCAGCCCACACCTGGCGGTGGCTGGACCGGAAGTTCCTGGAGGCCGGAGCTACCGACCTCACAGGGCGTGGGCACTGGGTGAGTCCTCCAAGGACCACCACCCGCCTCCTGACACCCCGGGGTCCAGGGCGCACTGCGTCCCGACACCAGCTGCCCACATGTGCGTGTACGTGCTTTGTATGTGCGTCACAAACAGCACTCGAAGCTCTGAAATACACAGGACACAGCCAAGAATATCCTTAACCACCAAAACTAGTCTATGCGCCCAGTGTTTTGAACTCACTTTACAGTCCACACCATTTTAAAATAAATATCTGCAAACACATACTAAGCATAATGGAATATAAGATACACTTTCTTGCCGAAACCGGTTTGGCTCAATGGATAGAGCGTCAGCCTGCGGACTGAAAGGTCCCGGGTTCGATTCCGGTCAAGGGCATGTGCCTGGGTTGCGGGCACATCCCCAGTAGGAGATGTGCAGGAGGCAGCTGATCGATGTTTCTCTCTCATCAGTGTTTTGAACTCACTTTACAGTCCACACCATTTTAAAATAAATATCTGCAAACACATACTAAGCATAATGGAATATAAGATACACTTTCTTGTCAAATTTTATATATTTTCAGAAAAATAAGATATAAAAGTTAAATTAAAAACATACAATCCTCTTTGTGAGATGATTTTGGGGAGTTCATTTACTTCCAAGGAAAAGATATACAATACATCTACGATTATTTCAACCCCAAACTTTCCATCTTGAAAAGGGTGGTTAACAGCATTTGAGGAACAGAAAAATGGGGAAGAATAGACTTGGTCTTAGTGAAACATTCAGCCCAACCGTTGGTAAAGACAGTTGAATTTCAAGGTCTTGCATTCTGATGGCTGAAGCACAGTTCTGCTCAAAGCCGGAAAGCGCAAAGCGTTTTCTGATTCTGCTGCCTTTGCTGAAATTACTGCAATGCAGAGCTCGCTAATATGGCCACAACTAAGTTACAGAGTGGAATAAATCTATCTGAATGACATTTAACCTATTTAAGGCAAAATAAATAGAATTAAGCAAGGCCTGCTGCCATGAACTTCTTACGAAGGAAAACATTAACTACGTCTTTATAGCAAACAATGCCCAAAGCTTTTTCAAAGCAAATACTGATCACATACGTCCACGCACTTCCCACACCTTCCCTGTCCTGACAGAATCGGCCGACACCACCTTCACTTCCCTCTGAGGCGACAGCGCCCCCGTGGGGAACTGCAATCGCCCCGAGTGGCCTGCACAGCAGCTGCGCCGAGGCTGCCGACCCAGGACGGTGCCCCCGAGGATGGCTCTCCGCCCGAGAAGGTCAGGGTGAGAGAAACATGTCCATAGCAGCAGGTGGGACCCAGAAATCCCACAGGGAGGTGAGCCAGGACCCTAAAGAACGTACCATTGGAAAGTGTCAAGCCCACAATCTTTAAAAAGAAAAATATTTTTAATTATGAAAAAGCTCTGATGAACGTAAAGATGGATACACATGCCACATTCCTGTAACAGACACGTGCAGTCCGTCCCCTCTCCACCCTCTGGCTACATCTTCCCGTTCTCTGGATCTTCCACATTCCATCACCTACAAAACCCAGCTCCTCACTGAGATTCACCTGCAGGGGAACTCAACCGTCCAGAGGTGGCGTCCTCTTCCTGCGGGCACCTCATGTCTGCCGGGTCCCCGCTCTCCTTACCGCCGGGGGTGACGGCCCCGTGGTGTCCCTCAGGGCCCCCGTCTCCTCTCTGAGCACCCTCAGGGGGGCCGCGCCCCAGAGCGTCCTCGGCAGCAGGCATGTTCCTCAGGAAGGGTGCGTGGGACTCCCCACTTGCAGGAGCATGAAGCCTGGGGCTGGCCTGGGCGGTGGCACTGGTAGCGGGGACCAAGCTGGGGTCCTTGCCCAGGCAGGAGAAGTCGGACATGCCCAGGATGCTGGCTCGCTCCCGCCTGGAGAGCCCGGCTCTGCAGGGGGGGTGGGCGGGGCCGGGAGGTGACTGCAGCCCTGGAGGGAGAGTCCCCAGGCTCCTCTCCCGGAGGTTGTCTGGTGAGAAGTAATCCTCATAGGAGGACGTGCCCCCAGGAGGAGTCCCCACGGCAGGGCTGGCCGGGACCTGGCCCCTGGGGGAGGAGAACAGCCGCACAGCAGACTTCCGGCCGCACTTGGGCTTCTTCGGCCTCCCCTCCTGGGGCGTGTGGGCGTGCTCCAACGGGCGCTTTCTCTTCGAGGAGGAGCTCCTGGCTGTGTGTCCCAGATGGTGGCCTTGAGTTACCGAAGGCTGCTGGTCAGGGGTGGCCGCCGCGCCTGCAGGGTCCGTCTGCCAACCCGCGTCCTCCTCCGCACGATGGCGCTCAGGCATCTGAGGCGCTAGCCGGCCGAGGTACCTGGGAGACGCGGGTGAGCGGACGCTGCTCGTTTCCAATGCCGGTGACGAAGCACACAGGGGGCTTCTAGGGTCGTCAGTGGGTCCTCCCAATTTCCTCTCCTGATCCCCATGCCCCGAGTCTCCACAAGGATCCTCCAAAGATGACTGCAGGCCGCCAGCCCAGGAGTCCTCTGGAAAACAAGGAGCAAGTGCACTTTAAAGAAGGTCTCGATCCCCACAGGGCACAGGAGTTCCCTCCCAGTGACACCTTCCCAGCACTGTCCTCGGGTCAGGGAGCCCCCAGCCTGTGGGTGACGCCCGGGAGGTGTGTCGTGACCCACGCGACCACACGCTCCCTGCGCCCACTGCCAGGCTGCGGAACCTCCTTCTGCAGCTCCTACTGTGTGCTCTGTACTGGACGCTTGAATTGCAAGTTAAGAAAATGCCCAAGAGGAACCACAGGAACCACAAACGAGTCATGTGCTTATTACAATGAACTACTTTTTACTATAATTCCTAATTTCAGGGTAAATTCAGGAATTCTAGTTTTAAGTAACTAGTCTTCTCATCAAATAAAATTCCAAATAAGAGAAAACATAATATTCTTAAAGCTAAAATATCACAGAAAATGATCTACCTGAACACAAAGTGTCATGGGAGATATTCAAAGACGCTTCACAGGAGGCGTGAGCTGGGCTATCGAAAGACTTTTCCATCATCTGGGAAGCTGGAAGCATAATCAAAACATTAGATACAATTCTGTTATTTTTTCAGATGCAGCCAGCAGAAAGCCCACATTCTGCTCTTAACCCTGGAGAATACTAACTATACACCCAATATACGCCTAAAATAAAGGTGTTCCAAAAAAATGTATACACACTTTAAATAATTATTAATTCCAATGGGTTAAATCTGAAAAGAAAGAAACATTAATCGAGCTACTAAAAACTGTCTATGTATATATTTTGGGGGGACACCTTAAATTAATGAAGCATAAGGAATTTCTGGAAGAAAATTTAAAGTCTACCCGGAGACAGATTAAAATCTGTTGGAATCGGGTAACTTTAACTCAAATATCTAAAGAAACATCACACTTCCCACCACAATGACCCAGCAAAGCGCTCATGTGACCACACGCAAGGCTTACAGGTCGGGGAGAGGTTTGCCCGCTTCTCCTTCATCTCCTGCAGCCTCTGCTCCATGGCGCGGTGACGACCTCTGTACGCCGTGGCTGTGGGGCTGTACATCAAGGCGCCATTGGACTCAAACAAGAGGACAGGGACATCGTTATCTGAAACAAAGACAAGCCATAGCTAAAGAGATGCTTATTTGTACCCATGATGTACAGGGTTGGTCTGAAACACTCAATTCAGAGGCCAGGTGACACAGGTAGAGAAAAATACCCAAACACATAGAGTACTTCAGAGCTTCATGACATTAAAGTATTTGTCCAAGTCATTAGAAGGATATATCTAGTGAATAAATGGGCAGAGGTGCCCGGCCGGCGTGGCTCAGTGGCTGAGCGTCGACCTATGAACCAGGAGGTCATGGCTGGATTCCCAGTCAGGCACATGCAGGAGTTGCGGGCTAGATCCCCCGTGTGGGGTGTGCAGGAAGCAGCTGATCAATGATTCTCTCTCATTATTGACATTTCTCTTCCTCTCCCTTCCTCTCTGAAATCAATAAAAATATATTTTTAAAAAATTTAAAAACAGAACTGCCATATGTCCCAGCAATGTCACCTCCAAGGAGGTAACCAAAGAAAATGAAAGATGTCTGCACCCATGTAAAGGCAGTGTTGTTGATAACAGTAAAGATATAGAAATAATCCAAATGTCCACCAATGAATGAATGTGGTACATATGCATACAATGGAGTATTACTCAGCCATAAAACAGAACGGAATCTTGCCATTTGAGATGACACGGATTGGACCTTGAGAGCATTATGCTGAATGAAATAAGTCAGACAAAGTAAGACAGATTCTGTATGAAATCACTAAGATGTGGAATCTTAAAAAAACAAAACAACAAACCCCTGAACTCGCTGATACAGAGGACAAACTGGTGGCAGCAGGCGTAGGGGCCACAATATGTGAAACTTGCTAAGAGAGCGCGTCTCAAAAGCACTCCTGGTGATGGGTGTTCACAAGGTGTAACTGATACCAACCCATCAGGCTGCTCACCTGAAACTAACATCATGTTCGATGCCAATCACAGCTCAATAAGTAGAAACTGTTCTGGGACCGATTAGCTCAGCCGCATGGCCCTGCAATGGCCACTATCAAGTCACAGGCAACTTTATTCTGTTTTCTCTTCCTGGGCTGGAGCCGCTGCAGGCCCCCTCGCGAGGCCATCCCGCATGCCACTGGCTACCTCGGTGTGCAAGCACACACGCAAAGGAGGGTGCCATATTTCTTTGCTTACCTAATGTTGTTTTTTGCCTTTGTAGCTCATTAGCCATTTTCTCAAATTTCTTTTGAAGTCTCTTATCATTTTCTGGTGTTTTAGGAGTAAAATCTTTGGGCTGCATACACCTATGCTGTGCAAAAAAGAACACAGACATTAACTCTCAGTGCTGCCTTTGTGCAGGCCAGGAACGGGACCTGCTCGTGTCCATTCCGGGCATCTCTGATCACAGTAATAACAAAACCCTAAGGAGGCATTTGTTGCACTACATGTGAGTTTGTACGATCGTGAAAACATACAAGGGCCCTGGCCGGGTGGCTCAGTTGGTTGGAGCATCAGCCCGCGCACCAAAGGGCCTCAGGCTCAGTTCCGGTCAGGCACACACCCAGGTGTGGGCTGAGGCAATCCGCACGGAGTCTCTCACATCAGTGTCTGTGGTCCTCCCTCTCCCTTACTCTCTAAGAAACCAATAAATACATCCTTGGGGGAGGATTTAAAAAACACGACGATACAGGACTAGGGCTGGCTGTACCAGCAGCTCTGCTTCTGAGGCACTTTCAGTACCCAGCATTCTTAGTTTCCATGAAGACAGTCTCTTTCTTCTTAGTTTTGCTATCCTCATGGTCTCTCCCTGCCCCACAAACATTATGACGTAGAAAACACAAAAGCAATTATTTTTTAACTGCCAAAGGAAATAAACATAATTTAATCTTATCTCTAAATCAGTAACCCCACTGAGCCAGTAAAAAGCAAGAAGTGTAACTACACATACACAAGGTGACAGAGTCATGAACCTCGGCCTACGAAGCCCTCGGGAAGCGGGTCTCCATCAGCACAGCTTTCCTGTGAGAACACCCAAGCTCTCCCGGCCCTGCGTTCCAGCCGCACTGAACGAGGGCATCTGACTCGACCCAGCTCCTCTGCCGTAGCCACAGGGCGCCGAGCTGTGCGCGGTCCCGACTTGGTTTCCTCTTGGCCGACAGCAGTCCCGTTTCTTACAGGTCCCCTCAAAGCGCCCAGAGGGCAAAACCACCTCTAACCCACTAAGGACGCTGTGACAATGGCAGCATCAACAGTGACACTGAAGGCAGCGCCGGACTCCGCTGCTAAAAGCTTCCTTTCCAGGAATAAAGTAAAAGAATGAATAAATGAGTAACTGCCTACACTGTGTCAGATACTTACTTTTTTTTTAATGAGGCAGGGCAGGTGTTCGTGGGTGTTCGTCGCAGGGAACAGGGCCTCGTCGACGTGTGCCCCGGCCGTCCTGCACCTGCGTGAGGAGACAAGTCCTTGGTGAGCATCTGTCTGCTAGACGCGCAGTGTGAAGCCTGCACGTGCCCATGTAACGGAGGACACCCACGCACGGCCACCTAACAGACACGTCTGCTAAATAAGTGCCCGTGTAACGGAGGACACCCACGCACGGCCACCTAACAGACACGTCTGCTAAATAAGTGCCCGTGTAACGGAGGACACCCACGCACGGCCACCTAACAGACACGTCTGCTAAATAAGTGCCCGTGTAACGGAGGACACCCTCGCACGGCCACCTAACAGACACGTCTACTAAATAAGTGCCCACGTGGCCAAGCACAGAGCCGATGCCTTCTCACTTCCCAAAGTCTCCTCCACCTGGTGTCTCTGAGGCCGAGAGCCAAAGCTAGAGGCACGCCCAGGAAGCATCCTTCTTCTGCAATAACTTCAGATTTGTAACCCACTTCAGAATGACCAGTGCACGGTGCTCAAAAAGGTGTAAGCACGTACCATGAAACGCATAATGAAAACAGAATGAAAGGAGTGGTTTAGGGCTGGAGGACCCCAAAGATGTTGAGGGCAGAAAGCTTATCTTCCCTCCAAAGCCAGTTCTCCTCTCTGTGTTTCTCTCCAGACCTGTCGCCCCAGCTGGGCTGTGGAAGGGGAGGCACCGCCGAGCAGCGGGCGGCAGAACTGCTTTCCAAAACAGACAGTAGACGAGGAGAGTGGCAGGACCCCCCCTCTGCAAATGGCACCAGAGCTGGGTTCTCACACCGAGTCCACACCCCACAGGCTGTGGCTCCCAGGCCTGGCCGGCACCTGCCCTCCACAAACATCACCTAATCAGCATCATGAAGTTGCACCTGGCTGAGCCCCGACTCTGACGACTAGCTGAGGTCCTGTGGACGCCAGGCCTGTCTCCTCCACAAACCTGTGCCGAGACCGGGAACGTCTGTGACTTTGGTAACAGTGAGGAGATGGTGCGCGTTGCTTGCTGTTTTTGACTCAGCCTCACCAAACGCTTGCTGCTAGCAGGACGGTCTAGCTGGCAGGTGTTTTAGAAGCACTGTTCCTTTTCACACACCGCTTTTCTCCGCAGGAACAGGCTCGACAAACTTCAGGTTGAAGAACAATCTTGAACCTGAGATCTCAGTTGTCTGTTCTTATAAAGGAAACTCCCAGAAATAACCTCACGAGTGGGATTCTAGCGACACCTAGTGACCTTTCCTATGTACTGTTCACGTTTTCAGTGGAAAACAGGAGCCATAGCTTGGACAGCCCCTAACAAAGCAGACACAGAACCTAAAATAAAGGTCTAAGTTCTGCTGAAGGAAGTTCAAGTGCACTGAAAAATAAGGGAACAGCATGACATCAACTTTATGTTCTCGCTTACAGAGGGGGGAAGACGAGAGGGCGCGGTGTGAGGGAGGCTGTGGGGCAGGTGCCTCACTGCGGGGAAAGCACGGAACTGGCACTTTCCCAGGAGGTGATCTGACAGCATCCACCACGAACGCAGCATGCGAGCCCTCGAAACCACCTCTGGAAGGGAACCCACAGGAAGACGGCCATGCAGGCAGGGCCTCCTCGCCCATCGTGGTCACTGTGCACCAACGATGAGCCGGGGAGTTCAGATGACTCAGTGGAAGCACAGCCACAAAACAGGACAGGCACGGTGGATGCACTTTACATGGGAACAGAAAGACCACAGTCCACGGGCACACAGACACGTGGGTGAAAGGACAGAACAGAGTGGGTTTTAACAGCACAACAAGGGAACAGAGTGCCCAAGGGGCCCGCCTACAGACTGGGGGACAGAGCGCACTCCGGGCAGGGAGCCCTTCCCCTGCGACAGGGGGAGCAGCTGCGCACCAAACGGGAGAACCGGGGCTTGGAGGCAGCCTAACGGGATCGAGTCCATAACATGCACCGTGTCCAAAACTCAGCCCAAAGCGACGTCATGAGGAGCCAAGAAGAAACCCACCGACAGATGCCAACTCCATGTGCTGGGATTACCAAAGACGCAGTTACTGAACGACAAGGACACTCTGCACGGAAACGCTCCTGCAGTGAGAGACAGGGAAGCTGAGACACAGAACACACACGTGAGAAAGAAGCGAGGGCCCGGCCGGCAGCTCAGTGGGTCAGAGTTGTCCTACACCCAAGGTTGTGGGTGTGGTCCCAGTCGGGGCACCTTCAAAATCAACCAAGGAGTTTGTGTGAATACGGGAACAGCAAATCGCTCTCTCTCTCTCTCTCTCTCTCTCTCTCTCTCTCTCTCTCAAGTCAATAAAAACAAAAATAAAAATAAGACAAATGGAAATGTTACAACTAATATTGCCCAAAATAATGTACTAAGTGGACATAATGACAAAACAGAGTTGACAAAGAAGAGACAGTGAACTTGAAGATTGATTTGGCGAGGAAATAAAAACTAAAAAATAATGAACAAAGCCAGGCCTCAGGACAGTGGGAAGATGTCAAAGGTCAAAGGCTGCTACACAGGAGGGACTGACATGGAGGCCCAGGCCATCCGGCCCCATCACACCCACCTCTGCTGCTTCTCCAGGGCTCCCTGCACCCGCGGAGCTGAGCAGCTCCATAGAGACCCAATGGCTCTGTCTCTTTACAGAAAAGCCGATCCCCGCTGTGCAGCGATCCGAGTTCTAGGGAAAGAGGGTCAAGGGGCAGAAAAGCCACTTAAAGAAACGGCCAAAACCTGGTAGCTCATATGTTCAAGCACCTCCGAGAAATCCACACAAGACAAGGAGGAAAGCACTTCAGGGAAACGTCCGAAAATCAACGTTAAGAAGAAAAACTGAGAGAAGGCAGGGGAAAAGGGCACGTGACTTCCAACTGAGAAAGGAGGGGCATGACCAGGCGCCTCCTGAGCCCCCGAGGACAGCAGGCTCTGGGGCACCTGGACCTGCTGAAAACGAGCCACTGTCCCCCTGGAACTGCATGTCCATGGAAACGGCACCACAGATGAGCCCGGAATAAGGACGTCTTCAGACAAGGAAAACGAAGGACATGTGTTGTCATATCATTAAAGAGATGCTACACTGACAGCACTGAAGTGAGAAATAAGCCACTTAACAATGCCGTTTGGAGACTTCAATATGCCATTTAATGGTGGACAGACCAAGAAGAGGACACAAAACTTAAAAAAAGTATGAACCAACTACTATTGACCTGTCAGAAAGGCACATAGAGAACATCCCTTCCACAGCCACAGACACATTCTCCCGCTGCTCATGCAGTATCCTGCCAGGGAGACCAGTGTGAGGGCACAGAACACGTCTCGATTACCTGGAGGAGATTGAAAAAATACAAAACATGTCCTCCGACCACAACAGAACAAAGTGAGGCATCAAAAATAGAATGAAGTTTGGAAAACTCAAAATATGTGGACATTAAACAAGAACCTCCTAAATAACCAATGGGTAAAATAAACTGCAAAAAACAAATCAGAAAACACTTTGAAGTAAATGACAACCCCTCAACCCAGCTAAGACCTACTGCCTGCTAATCAGACCCCCCCCACCCCTCCCTTCGGGGCAAGCTTGGCGTTGGCCGGTCCTTCATTATCACGGCTTTGCACTTCCCTCAACTCCCTCGGTGGAGGCTGCTGACAAAACCCAGCCCTGATTAACCCACTCCGCCTCCTTCCAGTTGTGGGCTGCTGGGTAAAGAGCGTGCCTGCTCCACCAGCCTCACGTTCAACTTACAACCACCATCCTCACGTGGGCTGTCCCTCCTTCACTGCCGCTGGGGAGCGCCTGCCTCCAGCCTGGCTCACTCAGTGCCTCCACCCCTCTCCCTGCTCCTACCCCGGGCCTGGTCCCACACCTTCTCCTCCCTCACATCCCACAAGAACTGCATCATGGGATGCCCGTGACCTCTCCCACCTCAATCTCCTCCCATGCTTCCCCTCAACACTCCCATCAAGGGCTCCACTGGGCCCCAGAACATTTTTTTAAAAATATATTTTATTGATTTTTTATAGAGAGGAAGGGAGAGGGATAGAGAGTTAGAAACATCCATGAGAGAGAAACATTGATCAGCTGCCTCCTGCACACCTCCTACTGGGGATGTGCCCGCAACCCAGGCACATGCCCTTGACCAGAATCGAACCTGGGACCCTTCAGTCCGCAGGCCGATGCTCTATCCACTGAGCCAAACCGGTTTCGGCCCCAGAACATTTTTAAGCCCTAACCCCCAGAACCTCAGAACATGACTGTATTTGGAGAAGGGCCTTCAAAGACCTAGTTAAGGTTAAATGAGGTCATATGAGTGGGCCCTAATCCAATGGGACTAATCTATATATACTAGAGGCCCAGTGCACGAAATTCGTACACGGTAGGGTCCCTAGGCCTGGCTGGCGATCAGGGCCTATCTGTGGGGTGACTAGCGGGGTGATCAGGCCACCCCCACTGTCCCCCTGCTCGCACCTGCCTTGGCTGGCCTGGCGCCGCCTGCTCGCTGCCGCTGGTCAGGGCCTGCGGGCTGGGGACACTCCGGACCCCGCGGGGGATGTCGGAAAGCCAGTTTTGGCCCCATCCCCACAGGCCAGGCCAAGGGACACCACCTGGCGGAGGGACCCTGCTCACTCTGCAGATGCTGGGGAGGGACCGTGGGAGGTTGGCTTCAGGGAGTGTCCAGCCCTTCTCGCCCAGTCCCGCCCCACCGGCCACCTTCTAATTAATTTCCTTTCAATGTGCAGGAATCTGTGCACCGAGCCCCTAGTGTCTCTGTAAGAAGAGATTAGGACACAGACACTCAGGCACAGCCATCTGCAGACCAAGCAGAGAGAGAGGCCTCAGAAGAAACCTGCCTTGCCAGTACCTGACCCTGAACTCCAGCCCCCAGAACAGTGAGAATTACATCTGTTGTTCCAGTTCGGGAACACTGCTATGGCCACCCAGGCAGCTGATACAATCACTTCATGGCATCTGCTCCCTTATTGTTTCCTGAGCACTCCAACCACAAGCTTCGGGCTGTGTGCTCATTCCCCTCCAACTTGGAAACTGAGGCTTGAGGGTGTCAAATGACTTGTCCAGTGAGAGGCAGAGAAAAGACGGCAATCAAACATCACCTGGTTTTGTGATCCATGAAAAATATACTGCTCTGCTTTACTAACACTAGATACTCAAGGAAAGAAAGGACTCACTTTTCGACCCAGAGCACAGAGACGAGCTTGACGCCTCTCTCTCGGGCTTTGTCCCAGGTGCGTGGGTATCCGTCTTTGAACACAACATGAGTTACTTGCTTGTTAAAAGTTTTTGAGACCTGTAGGTAAAGTGCAGGAAAAAAAATTACATTATTATTATTTGCACACAATTTCATAAAGTAAGTATAAGCGAGGGCCATTCATGGAGACAGCTGCAAAATAAGCAACAAAACAGCAAACTGTATCAACCTATAAAAAGGATAACACTGGGTGGGCAAAAGTCGGTTTACTGTTATTCACATGAACAAGAGTACAGGATCTATAATAATAAAAGCATAATATGCTAAGTAGGCCCGACAGCCGAACGACCTTCCAGACGTCCTTCTGGACAACCTTCTGGACGAAGCCGGGGCTGCGAGGGCCAAGCCCCTTGCACGAATTTCATGCATCAGGCCTCTAGTTAATAAATAACAATGCGAGAATAAACTGTTTTGCGTACCCACAATTGCAAACCTACTTTTGTCCCTGAACATCCCCACCACTTGAATGTATTCCAGGACTGCAATACATTGGTTAACATGAAAAAAAAAATCAATAAGGATTATCCACTATATTAACAAAATAAAAGACCATTATGATCATCTCAATAGATGCATACAACCCACCTGACAAAATTCAAAAGTTTATTCCGAAGGACAATTCTTAGTAAATGAGGATCTCAATGCTGGTACAAAATGCAGTGACTAGCCTTAACTACCTCAAGTTCCAGCTTGGTACACCTAAAATCTGTCAGATATGCCCAATGTCCCAACTTCGCAACCTTTCCCTAAACACCTGTTCCCTTCCCTGCATACCCCACTTGACCAACAGCATCACACCTCCAAGTAACCAACGGCAGGATCCGTATTCTCACCCTAGAGTCCTCCCTCATAAGCACAAGACCAACCGTTGCATAAATTCTACTGCGCCAAATTCTTACTGTGGTTCTTTTTTCTCCTGTCACTTTCCCACTGTCTTCTTTTCCCTTCATATTCTAATAACTCCCCAAATTATGTACCAGAGGTCTAACATATGGAGCAATGGTGAGATGAATTTGTTACATGTAGCGACAGTGACATGAATTTGTTACTCACATGTAGCAATGGTGAGATGAATCTGTTACTCACATGTAGCGACAGTGACATGAATTTGTTACTCACATGTAGTGATAGTGAGATGAATCTGTTACTCACATGTAGCGATAGTGAGATGAATCTGTTACTCACATGTACAATGGTGAGATGAATTTGTTACATGTAGTGATAGTGAGATGAATCTGTTACTCACATGTACAATGGTGAGATGAATCTGTTACTCACATGTACAATGGTGAGATGAATCTGTTACTCACATGTACAATGGTGAGATGAATCTGTTACTCACGTGTACAATGGTGAGATGAATTTCTTACCTTTGCCCCCATCTCCACAAGTTGGTTTGTAAAAGTCTTTGAATAATTTTCTGTTCCATTGGCTGACCACACTTCCACATAAGCCACTACATCTGAAAACAAACAAGGTGTCAGCATGAAATATACTGAAATCCCATCATCCCTTGCCCGAGTATTTCGATACATTTCTCTCTTGTTATATTTACACCAAAAACTTTTTTAAATTTCTTCAATTGCAAGCCTATTCAAAACAGCATTCGTGCTATTATGGTTCTTAAATTTTCAAGCAAAGAACGACGTTAGTCATGCACATGGCGGTGGACAGTTTACACTGTTAACCCTCCATGCGCTCCCCAAGTGCCCAAACCAGGCTCAACTCCTCCGGGCGAGAGTCCGTGTTCTGAAAAGGACGGGACAGTAGAGTTCAGACTCGGGCCAAGGAGATGTCGTGGCTGCAAAGCAAAGGCAGCCACAGACAAAGCTGAGGAGGGGGCAGAGCTGTCTTCCCATGAAACGTCACAGACGGTGAAGGGAGAATCGGAGGGCATTTTCCTGTCTCCCTCCTTCTTCTGGTGCCCCCCACCCCCCCACCACCACCACCATTTAGAGCAGCAAGTCACAGCCTCAGCTGCAGGCCCTGCGGGGACAGGAGCATTGCGGGGGCAGGGAGCAGGTCCCGCGGCCCAAACCCAGGGCCGGGAAAGGGGGCCCAGGTGCGCGGGCGGAGCGAAGGGAAGTGGCTGAAGCGCACACATCCCGCAGGAGGAACAGCCACGCGGGGCAGCGCCGGGTCCGGGGGGCCTGGGTCTCCCCTCTGACTCGGGCAGGACCCCGCCCAGCGCCCCCTCGCCCAGCACCTAACTCTGCGCCCCGGGGGCTCGGAGCCCCGGTGCCCGCCCGGTCAGAACCGAGGGGCGTGGACTGGCTGTGCGAGGGGCGGGGGGCCCGCACGCTCCGGGCCTCAGTTTCCCGCCAGCGGCCGGCGGCCCAGCTCTTGGCAGCTCCGGGCACGGTCGCGAGGGGCGGTGTCCGCACGGCAGGGACACGCGTGGCCGAGGGCGG